AAAAAAAATTACAATAGTTTTAAAAAAAAAGCTTTTGCAAAACTTTTATAAATTTATTATTATAATACTTTTCGTTGAGACTGTGGATTATTGTAAACAAACTGTGCATTGGTGATGTATTTCTCAATATTTTGCTGTCAATACTTGAGTATTGCTGAATCATGAAATTGTCCGTTAATTGAAATGATCCACATTTCATATATGTGATGTTTTATATTTCTCAAATTGAATCAAGAAAAAAAGCATAATTACGTGAGAAATAAGTATCAAAATGCATATATTTTTTAAATGTATTTATGTATTTATCTAATTTTATGTATTATATAAACCTACTTTTTATGGTAGGTAATAATGTGACACGATTTTAGCGATTAGCTGCGCGCATAAGTTTTATTTTGTTTTAAGAATGGATGTCAACAGCTGTAATGTATTATAATTGTATTACAAGTTTTTATGTTCAAGATCAGTGCCGAAAAATACTGAAAGGATTCACCAATTGCTCATGAATATCAACATTTGAATTAATTTATAATTTCCATGAGTTATTTATTTTTCATCAACATCACGATGTAGAATCCATCCAATTGAGTAGTAAAAAAAATTGCAAAATTTCGAGAAAAGGAAGTAAAAATAAAGATCTGTTATTGCTATTATCATTAAAAAAAATATTTAGGATACAAAACATTGAAGATGAAGATACGATATACCGCAACGAGAATATTATAGAGGCAATTTTATATCATCTAAGATATTTGTTCGAATTACTTTAAATTACAAAAGAAATTAATAATAAATAATGTACATAATAAATTTACATACATAGAGGTACTAAACATGCAGTTTCATATTATACATGCAATATTATATAAAGTAAATTTGATGTAAATTACTTTATTTCCGTGTAATCAGTTGAAATTATATACTGTTGAGTCTTTCACTAATTTTAATTCTAGTCGCTATTTTTATTCTGTTTTATTACTTAAAGTTACAAGACAGAGCAAATTAGTAAGAACAGTATTACCTTCCTTGTAGAAATTGCTGTGATGGCAATATTACTTTTGCGTGTGGCACCTATATATTTGTATGAAAAAATATAATAAACAATAGAAAATATCTCAAGAGTTATGTTAATATACGAGTAACGAACAAGACTGCGATTATTGTTATCACTGTTATTACTAATAGGATAGAAATAATCCTTCTGTAACGATGCTTATTTTTAAATATGCTTTTCATAGATAAAATAATTTTTAAACATATTCGTATCTTCAATATATTAATTCAATTTCTAATTAAGTTTAAAATAAAGTATAAAATATAGTAATAATAATATTTGTAAAATTAACATGGAGTAAATTTGTCAGTTTGTTATATTAACTGTTCAAATGCTCTTACTGAAAATAAATTCTATTGTAAACTTTAAGAAATATCATATAATGTCATAAATAAAAAATTTTTAAAACAAACTATAATTGTGTAAATTAATTCTCTGACTAGAGCTTACTTTACATAAATGCGAAATAGAATTAATCCTGTTTATCGTTATTCTATTCATAAAATGTAATTATTTCTTCGTGTTGATTATTAATGTTGTAAAAATATAAATAAAATGGTTAACATTATAAACCATATTACATAAAAACATGATATGTTTACATATAAATTTGCAGGTCTATTAGAGGCATAGAATTGGATCATTTTGGATAAGGATTTGAAAAACCTGTATTTAAATGTAAAAATGACATAGATGCAATATGAAATAAAGAAAATGAATGTGAATACATCTATTTGACGATCTATAGATTTTTTATCATACAAAAAAGAATGATTAAAAAATTGGTGTAAAAAAAGTATTTTTTCTTAAAGAAATTCGACGATTAGCAATATTTATTTCCGCTTTACACTTTTTTTATAAAATACGATAGCTTTTATAAAATACGATATTTTCTCAGACAAAAAAGATCATATTTCCTACAAGATATGTGCAAATAGAGAGAGGAAAAGAGAGAATGTGTAATATTAATTAATTAACAGAACCTTTACACATATAAACATAATTTCACATATCCATAGATAATACTAAAATGCAAATTAAATAAAGTTTAAACTAGTACATTGTTTAGTGCGTTTTTAAATACAACTATAATTAACTATAATTATAATAATAATTATAATTAACTATAATTATAATTAACTATAATTATAATTATAATTAACTATAATTATAATACAACTATAAATTATAATAGCGGCGCTCTCGAAGATACCTTGTGTCATGTATATCCATTCTTTAATTTGTCACATAGCTTTATACACAGATACTCAACTTTATATAAACCTTGTCATTTTAATCCTTAAATATTATCATTTCTCGCGATCATATTCATCAGAGTTAATATGAAAGACTTAAATAAAGTACTTTAGGAAACTTCTGCGATTGATGATATCCGGCGTTCTTCAGTCTTCGCATCGCTAAAAAGCATTCTCAGAACATCTAAGATAAAAGACCAAGAAATGAAGCAGGAATTATAAATTCGTTGGGTCTCCCGGCGATCTTTTAACTTGCGCTTTTTCCTAGAGCTTCCGACGGAATCTCTCCGACGGAAGCTCGTTACATGTTCACATTTTCCAAAAGTGTGTCCGAAATTTCTGCGACTAGGTCGCACCTCGAAGAGATCGTGGGCAACACCACAAATACTATATTCGATTAGGATCGTATATTTGACTCATCTTCTGTTGAGCTTGCACCAAAGCGCGCTCGCCGTTAGAAGGTGCATCAGCACCCCGATGCCGAGGATGAGTATCAGATTATTCACCACGTTTACGTCGTTGATGTCCATCTCGTTGAGAAATTTGGTCGGCCTTTTGTAGTGACAGTAGAACTCGTCGCACTTCAGGTCCATCCGGTCGAATCCGTACACGGTGTACAGCAGGCTGTGGAAGCCCGCGCGAAAGTACGACACGTGGAACATCCAGCGGAAGAGGATCGGCGTGTCTATGTAGCGTATGCAAAAGCCGAAAATGGAGAACAGCACCGCGATTATCGGACCGGCGAAGACCGCAATCTGCAAGAGAATATTTGGAAATTCTTATTATTTTCTTTTCTTTTCTTTTTTTTTTTCTTTTCAGCGCGCGTATAACTTCATTCTGTAACATTCCGTTTCAACGTTGTATATTTATATTTACATAATTGTGATACTACTGAGTAAAAAAATTACAATTAACACGTCACATATAACGTGTGTAATGTACTCCGTTACATTACAACATACAATTATTTGTGTTATTTATTTCCCGAGTTAACGTATTCAAGTATAATCTTCGGATAAGTAGAAATGTGTTATTTATTTCCCGAGTTAACGTATTCAAGTATAGTCTTCGGATGAGTAGAAATGTATAATGTAATAATGTAATAAATTTACATATTTATAATGTACAGAGATAATAAGTATCGTTGACACGTGAGCGTTCAAATGTCTTTTCAATTATTTCTATATTTATCACGTTGAATATAGATATGTATTTGCGGATTCGTATCCGTACATTTGAATTTCAGAACGGCAGGATGGAATTCTTAACGCGCATTTTTAACGCGTTAATTTGAACTAAAATATCCGTGTGTAAAATAATGACCGAGGACAAAATTCTCTGAAGATACGAAAAAAATATCACGCAACGGTTCGAAATTTTTTATGTACAAATTTTCTTTTGTTTGCACGAGGCGAGCGAAAACGCAAGTTGAAACGAAGATAAAACGACAGTGAAGCTAACAACGTAAAACGCAAAGAAAAATTGCAAAATATTAACATTTAAGATTTAATCATCCACTCACAAACAGATAAATCGCTCGAATCTCACTTGACTTAATTAAAGCCTGTTCTTTTCAGCTGAATTTCTTTCACTGAATTCATCTTTCTTTCTTTTCTCTCAATGTTGAAGAGAAAAGGAGAAAAGATGCAACTGTGCAAGACTGTTCAAAACTAGGGGGGGGAAAAAAAAAAAAAAAAAATATAACAGATCTTTAATCTGCAAATTTACTGACCCGCGTAAATTTAAATTATTACGAGTTTACTTAGGTTTAAGAAATATTTAGGGAGGAAAGCGTCCCGAGAGAGATTCACCTTAATCGGCGTGGTAACGCCGATGAAGAAACCCCAAGCTTGCGCCGTCAGGCTGGCGGCTATGCTGACTATCATGAAGAATATTATACGATTCGTCTCTACAGGCTGTCCTGTTAACCAGTAGCTTACTGCGAGATATGTCGCCGCACAGGCCGCTTGGAAAGGTATCTCGACCAGCAACATACTGATATAATACGGGGCCAGCCGGTACCAGCGATTGAAATGCTCCCTCGTGAGAATCCGCATCTCCAGTGGGACTGAAACCGAAAGGTGTGAACAAATGAAACCTGACAACAACATAATTCGATAATTGAGATCTATCAAGTAATACCATTGGCACCATTTTTCATTTCGCGTGGACAGAAGAATTAATCTTTCGTTGTTTAACACAGAAAAAGAAACATTAGGTTCGGAACAATGATTATTATAGTTAAAGGATTTACTTAAAATTCAGTTGATCGCCTATTTATCGATCGATTATTGCTAATCTGCATTTAATTTGCACTTAATTTTTACTCTGTACAAAAAAATAGATTTTTTTTATCGACGGAATTGCGTAAGATCGACATCGACGATATATCATTATAGAACAATTAACCTGCTTTTGCGACTTAATAGTTAATAATTTAAACTACACGATATCCACTTGTCTATGAGCATTAAAGGTGATAGATTACCAGATTATTCATTATAAATTGCATTCATGATAAATAAATTCAGACCGGTAATACGCTCGAATATGCATTAAGACTATAAACGGTTATTAATCGCCCTGAGACTCCAACTCATTTTTCTTGTGAACGCTGCGAGATGCATCGGCGAGAGTCGCGTCTGGTGACCGCTCTATGAAATTTAATCACAACAGCTGTGACAGAGATATTCACGTTTCCTTGACCTATATCTCGGCTTAATAACAGCGCGGCGCCGAGCGTTCACGAATATTACACGCTCGACGCAGCAACGCGCGGTGAAGATAATTATCGTCGGCCAACTTACGGCCGATTTCGAAAGATAAGCGAGATTTAGTGACGACAGTTCCGGAGAGCTGGCGATGATGGACGGTTCTCGAGAGCTAGTGAAATTCAGGAGTGCACGTACACATATATATATACGTGTATGCGCAAGCACATGTACGCATATGTGTGCGCGTACGCAAAAATGAAATTTGGGAAGTCAAATAGACTCGAGGTGAAATCTGAGATTCATTCCATCATTCGGGCAGATTACATGAAATCAGCAAAAAAATGAAGCAACGAAAGAAACTGGTGAAATCTGGCCTTCGATATCCCTCGATCTAACATGCAACGGCGTTGCGCAGATTTAAAAAAAAAAAAAAAAAAAACTAATTGTCGCTCGACGAAGTCAAATCGCTGCACGCTAAGTCAGAAAATACATATTGCAAAAATCGCAAAATATTATTGCCGCGCGTGCGCATTAAACTCACATTCCGCTAATAGAATCTACAAATGATGGTATCGCACTTATGTCGGTGTATTCGATTTTAGATATACGGATTTCGCATTTCTCGAGTGAAATCTATTCTAAAAATTGCTCGAAAATTAATATAATAATTTAAAAATAATAATAATAATAATTATTTAAAAATAAATTAATATAATAGTTCGTATTATATAAAATCAATCTGTAAATTCAATAATTCAAAAATCATGTTCGTAGCTGAAGCGTCACGGCGCTGCGGTTGAAATATTAAATAAAGTTAAATCACGTCGCTGCGGTTGAAATATTAAATAAAATTAAATTACGTGAAATTAAAGACGAGTGAAATTGAAAAATATGAATGGGAAATACAGTCCAGTTATAAATTCTGACATGTAATGACATGTAGACGAGTTTAATAACAATTGAATTAAAATCCTCGCGTGAACTGGCAGATAAATAGATAATTTCGTATTATCATTGACGTTTAAATTATATGATGTACTTGAAAAAAGACGTCTAAACATGTCGAAGAGATGTTAACAATCGGTTACATTTATAACCATGTACAATAATATCAATTGTGACTAATAGGAATCTGTCATCGTGATGACTAATGCGAATAACACACCAATGTTTCCTTTGATAAATTACAAGGTTGTTATATTTCTTTATCCGACATATTATAGATTATGCAGTTTGTTGATACTATGAGTCTTGATACATGCAGACGTCAATTTGTCATTATTTTTTAACTGCAGACTCGTAACAGAGTAAAAATTGAATTAAATTCGCGTTCGTAAGATCTGTATGCATTAAAGAAATCCTAAGGTCATGCGTTTTACGGACCACATGTCATAATTTTAAAATTTTTATACATTCAGAAACTCTTTTCCATAATTAAAGCATTTTGCAGCCTAAAATTCAAGAATAAATTCACTTCAAGAATAAAAGAATCTTTTGAAATTCAGATCTTTTTTACTCTTTGCTACTTTAATAATACGGTGTCCCGAGTTCGCAACTCGTGTCAATATTTGCTCTCATATAAAAATTCAACAACCTGTTCTTACAAGAGTATATATATATATATATATATATATATATTAAGATTCATACAAGCACATTACATGAAGAAACAACATCAAACTTTTAGAATTAAGCTTAAACATCTAATATCATGCAACAAGTTTAAAAACGAAAATTTGTGCATATGTATGCATATTTTTGATTAAATTCGAATTTCATATTTAATATTCCTTTAATTAGTATTAAGATATTTAAAATTAATATTAACATTTAATGAATAATAATTAAATTCATATAACATAATATAAATTAAAATTAATAACAAAAAAATTTATAAAATTTATAATATAATGTGAATTGAAATTGATTCCTGTTCGTCCTGTTAGTCAAATTCATATTAATATTAATATATTCAGTGTCTTTTAATTAACAAGTGTTTTCCTTTTATTTATAGTTGGTAAGAATTAAATATTTATACTTCAAGGAATTTAATGATTCTATTTGAAATTGATTACTTACAGGCGAGAGTGACTGCCATTTTTCCGGTATAAACAAGAAGCAGCAGCGATCCGTATAGATAAACGTAATTCGCCAAGACGTTAGCTCGATAACCGCTTCCCATATACAGATATCCGAAAATCACGCCAATTAACAGATGACAGAGTAATCGCGCCATCAACAACGTGTAGTCTCTTTTCAAGCATAACAACTGCCTCTTGTACAGAAGATAACATTGCGTCAGGAAACCGGCAGGTGATGGCGGTTCTTTGATTCTGTCCGCTGAAATAATACGCATAAATCACTCTAATAATTATTATTGCAAAGCGATTCGATGTAATATCTAGCACAAGTAAATTTTTCAAAGTTTTTCGATAATTTGCCGCTATCTTGCGTAAGCAAGATAAAATAAAACCAAGAATTGGATGTTTCATAACATGTCCATTAGCGAACAGAAAGAGAGAGAAAGAGGAAGAAGCTATTTTAATGCATGCATACGAATTAATTAGAACAGTCTTTATTATCCTTGAATATTAATTTGAATGAGACATAAACTCAGTTATAATGAAATATTCATAACTAGATATTCACAATTAGCGAATAACTATGAAATATTTCATCGAATACTTTGCACCGTTTTTACGAGGATGTTCGAAAAAAATATGGAAATATTTTCTCATAAAATGAATCGGGTCCGGGTGTATAAACCCGCGTTTGATTTATTCGATGTCTAATGACACCGGTTAACGGTTGTAAAATCCCAAAGAGGGAAGTGACCTTACTTTCTTCAGGCAATCCCGTGGTGAGAGCGACTGTCTTCTGATCGTTCGGAATCGTTTCCGCCGCCGCCACCAGCTTATCGAGCGAAATGTCATATTCGCCGATCGCCACCTCGAGAACTGAAACGAATTCAAGGACCGATTTTCAAATCGTTATTTCTACAACTATTATGTGATTATTCGCCGTTGTGCGAAACGCGAACGAAGTGAATGTTGATCGTTTCAACATCCGCCACGCGTTGTTGTACCGATGTACTTGTCAAATCAATTTATATTCCAGCACGTTGTTACGAGACGTTGTTAACACGCGATCACTCTTTCCTCATTATCTTGATGTTTCGAACAAAGCGCTCGCAACAGAAATGAATCAGGCATGAACACACTTAATTAAACAGAGCTATCTAAGAAAAACTTTTTTTCTTAAGAATAATAAATCACGTTCGATCACGTTCCTCATTGTACCGTTAATATTTACGTTACAGGAACGTTAGACATGAAACTTATTCAGGATTACCACCTAAAATTTATTCGACAAAATTTATTGCACCTGCTATACTTTGGCGCGATGAGTCAAGCTCTTGCGTAACAACGTCTGAAGTCTCCTTTAGAGAGAATTCGCGGTCTCGAGGCGAACCAAGGCGGAACGCGGCCTTGGTCCGTTCTCAGTCCGAGATTTATCATTCCTAGACGATCAGAGGCTCGTGTTTAACATCGATTCCGATTGTTGCAGTTGGTCCAAGCTAACGTACCGAAATCCGCTGGATTGTGATACGGCGGGCAGTGGGCGCCGACGGAGGCCAGGTGCGGTAGCAGCGACCTGACCGGACCTCTGTATATGCAGTAGCCACCGGCCACCACGTAGAGGGTATCAAACATCTCCAAGAGCAACGCACTCGGCTGATGAATCGTACAGATTACCGTGCGCCTTTCTAATTCCGCTAATCGTTTCATCAGAGCGACGCATTGGCTGCACGAGGAGGAATCCAGACCTGAAAAAGGTCAAGCTGAATGATTCCACGGTGTCCCACAAAGGCGGCAATGCTAACGTAATTCTTCGGAACACGCGTTTCGCAATCGCGTCCCGATTGCGCGCGTAATAAGAAGGAAAGAAAGAAAAAAAAAAAGAAAAAGAAAGAAAACCGAGTGGCATTCAGGGTGCAATGTCCCATGTTGATATCTCCATCTGCCGCATCTTCATTCTCGTTATCTCCGAACGAAGGACGCGGACGTTGGGAAGGTAGAAGGACGGGGAGGTGGAGGGAGGGCAACTTCTCCGGAGGGAACTTCAAGATTATTCTATTGCTAGCATTGCAACGATATTATGAAGTCCGCGATGATGCAATCCCCCGATGATAGACTCCCGAGTTGCGCGCAGGTGCAGCGTTATTAAGCAAGCGCGATTGAAATTGTGTGGAAGCGGATTGAGGTAATCGGAAATATACACATCGCAAATCGACGCCGGAAAGGTTGATTGCGAGACTCCTACGGTTCAATTACCATGGCACGACGTGAGTCACGAAAGAAACTTTTTTACGCCATGGTGTAATCCAACACCGAGATATTGATGCTCACACTTTGAAGTATTAGAGAAATATTGTCATTGCGGATGATTATTATTAGCCATTATATTAGCTATTATATTACTGCATTTGCGACGAGATAATTGTGCGTTCTACGATTGGTAAATCATAATTTGCATTGTGCAAATCGCATTAATCGACGCATTCATCGCTCGTTTCTAACGAAATACAATTTCCGCGAATGCGAAAGATATAAAGTGCATGCAAAGCTGTAAATTATTAATAACATTTATAGAAATGAATAAAAAACCTAATGTGGATTCGCATGCTGATCATTTTCCTCTTCGTAACGATATCGTAATTCCCTATATCGTAACGATTAAGTTGCAGTAATAAATATACTTATTAAGACTTTACGATTGTTTTTATGTGCTTCATTAATTAATTGCGTCTTGAGCTATATTTCAAAACATATTTTATATCATTAGTCAAACATATTTTCTATCACAATATGATTTAGCACAATATGATTTAGCAGAAATCTGTTTACTGAAATCATAATAATAAAATATTCCTCTTTTATCTTTCATTTAACTTAAAAAGAATTAAGGAATTAAAAAAACGTGAATAATATTTAAAGAGTACCTGAATAATAATGAAAATATTAACGTTCTTTAAATAGTAATAAGTACTTTAATAGTACTGTAAATAAGTATTAAGTTTCTTTTACTTCTGTTGATAATGTCATCAAGCTTTTTTTTTATTATAAATCTTATCGTGTGTTATTTGCCTATTCAATCTTTTTTATAATTACATCTATATTGAAGTATTATGTTCATTCGTTTCCACGAAACTGGTATCACCTTACTTTTGTTTTTTAATTACAAAATTTTTCATCGTGTTAAAAGTCCAATTACTTACCAGTCGTTGGCTCATCGAGGAATAATACTGAAGGATTAGTTAGGAGTTCCAAGGCAATGTCGAGCCGCTTCTTTTGTCCTCCCGATAATTTTCCGCATAACGTGTCGTAGCAATGAGTCAATCCCAGCATCTCCAACAGCTCTAAAACCTACGCATAGAAGAACGACAAGTAGAATTAAAAGCCGCGGCAAAGAACATCCAAAGATAATCGACAACATAATTCACAAGTCGAACGCGAAGAAAATGAAGAACAATGGAAGACTTTGTTCTTACAAAACGTCCATTATTTCTTAATCATCGAGATCGAGCGCTTCCTTCGAACATGAGATTCGTCCATAAAAGCGTCTTTTAAAAACGAGATAAAGGAAAAAAAATACTACGACGCAAGTAGACAGTCGAAGTTAATTGCCAATTGTCACGAACCTGGGTGTGCTTGTAAGCGGAGCTGATTGTGCAACCGAGCTTCAAATGAGCAGCTAGAGTCATGGCTTCTCCCACAGTGATGCATGGCCTGAGAATGGAGTCCTGCTGAATGTAACACGATGTCCTTTTCCATCGTTCGCTCTGCGGCACTCGAACCTTGCCGTTGACCAGAACCTCTCCGCTCACCCCCTTTACGCTACGCATTGCCATCAATATATATATATATATATACATGGATAAATGCAGTGTTATAAAAAAAAAGGAAAAAAGAAGAAAAACTTGCTAAATGCTAATAACGAAAGACGTGTCGGATTTCTCGTACAACATTGTACGAAACGATGTAGATTTTTTTCTACATTGGTCACGGTTAATTTACCTTTCAAAGTACGAAGCGTGACATTGAAATCTGTGATAATTATTGGTTATCGGTATTTACGTAATTTCACGGTAGCTCTTCTCGCATTGAGATATAATTGAGATATCCAACAGCAACAGTTTAAAGCGGAAGCAAGGAGTAAATGTCAGCTACGATATTGTGATGTGAATAATATAAAAGTGAAATATGCAACCTTCTCTTATAAATACGACAGGGAAAATGGAATAGATATTGAATAGATAATTGATTATTAGGTTAAAGTATGGAAGTACGTTTTTTTTTTAATATATATATTGATATGTAACCAGGCAGCAATTATCATCAGAAAAACAACGTCCGTTCTTTTTCACACCAAGATATTCAACGTAACAAGCGAAACTCGATAATGTTAATTAATGTTAACTCGAAAGTCACGGCAAATGTTTATCGTTAATACACTTTTAATAAAAACAGATAAAGATCAAGAATAAAGCTATTTGTTCGAACGCAGAACGATTTGTTTTTGACACAAATCGTTTGATTTTGAAGAACACGATATGTGTCTTAGCTTAAACAGAGTCGCTTTCGATTTGAAACTAGTTTTTAAATATTTTCCCTTGCATTTAAATAAGACCATCGCAAAAGAACGAACATTTTGTGATATATCTCATATTTTCTCATGAAAATGTGTTTGGATAGAAAACTTGAAATATCACTCTACGATGACTTCCTTCATACGTAAAATGAAAGGAAGACTCGATAATAAATTTTATGCAATAATCTAATGTCGTAATGATATATGTGTAATTAATACATAATTATGTAATAAAAGATATTTATAGAAGCAAGGCAAAAAGATAAACTTTAACGTAGGCATATATATAAATAAATATGACTTAAGGGTATCGTTATTAATACTATTTATGTAAAATACATTTATATGGAAATGCAAATAATACTCTAAGAAATTCGTAAAAAAACGATTGTTTTAACTGAGTCTCTTCTATATAAGTACATATAGATAAGAAATAAAGTATAAATTACCATCAATGATCAAATCTAACTACATATATTAAATAATTATCTAATTAAGATTAATTTTCTGATGTTTTTTGTGTTGTAATTTATGATTGCAGAAATATAAAAACCGTGTGAAACAGCTTTATTGAAACAAATAATATTTTATTGAAATTAATTATTGCAATAAAAGATGTTTATCGCACAGGAAGTTATGAAGTTATATCCAGCAAGTGCAATAATTCGACACGCTTTAATTACAAAGAATTCCCACATATTAATGTGTGGAAAAAAAAATCAAGGAAACTGAGAAAAAATCGGACTTGAAAAATTATTAATGCAAAGAGTTTGCAAAACAAGCGTTTTATAATCGCGATTATATCATTATATCATGTTTTGCGAGTACATGATTCATTTTGCAATATACTGATTTCTACGATGTTTAATCTCTCGCCATTCGAAAGCGACGAGGAAGCGTTCATGGATTGAAAAAAAAAAAAAAAAAAAAAAGAAAGAAGAATGTCGATATAATCTAATCTGCGAATGATACTCGCATCAAGTGCATATTGAAATCATTATTATAATAACGATTAGCCGTGAACACAAGCGCGTTTTACGTGAGCGTATTTATTAAGCGATTTAACCACTTAGTATTCGACAATAATAAAAACTACTTCATCATGTTATTTTTGCACATACGATTATTCGCGATCGATCATAATATTGTATAATATTGTACAAGCAAAAAAGGATAAAAATCTGAAAATTTCTGTTTCCACGCGTAGACGTAGACGTATATATATAAACGAGCTGAGAATTGCGATCACGGAATAGCCTTTAAGACTCTCAAGTAGCTCACGGCGAATCGAGGTTTCTCCATGAAATTTAATTTTAATGCGACCGACATTACCGTTTTCCTGTTGCGTGTTCCAATAAACGCAAAAACGGGAAAAATCGCGAAAATGGAAAAAAAGAATCACGAATTGACTTTTAGATGACGGTACTATCTGAAATTCTATTTTCTAATTCGCCTATTTCTATATATCGCGAAAACAAATCCGGTTCATCGCGTTATCATGTCAAAGGTCAGATTTCCAAAGCGCGCATTATGATGACTGAATTTAATTCTTGAACTCAGATCGTTTGTTCCGCAATCCACGCGCGAGGAAAAATAAAAAATAATGCAGAATAATAAATTGAATCATTCATAAAGTATATTAAGTAACGTAGAATAAGACATTTGAAGGTGAAGTAACAAAAAAAAAAATAAGTCCTGTGGACGCGTCAGTTTTCGAGTGCACCTACGCAGAAAACAATTTAGTCCTGAATCTTTTTGTATGTACTTACGTGAAACCGGCAAGAGCATTCAACAATGTCGATTTCCCGGCTCCGGACGGTCCCATTATGGCCACCAATTCGCCGGCCTTAAATTCGCCGCTGACACCATGCAGAATCTCTTTCTCGCCTGCAACAAGGCACAAGATCGCAATTACACGATTGCGTCATTCAATGCGCGATGATTCATTGTTAATTAGTCTTGAGCGCGCTGTCGGAGCAATATTTCACAGCTCGACTCGAGAAATGAAAGGAAAAAAAAAAAAACGTCAGCACGTCGCGGAACACTGTAGTCCGGATACTCATTGTAAAGTACGAATCTGCATCAATTGTACGATCTATTTGCATCATTTGCGATAGATCAAGACTCGATATTTTATGCAAATATATTTTACATCACTTCAAGGCTATTTTTGAAGTCATTGACTCCAGATCGCGGTGTGACATTTTATATATTATGTAGTCGAGTCGCAAATGCAATCTTCCCCGGTTTCGATATGATTAATGTATTAACAAACGATTATTAACATCTATATAAGTGATAATAAGCAGTTGACCTTTAGCTAAAACGACGTGCAAACTTATTTGTGTGTAACATCGCAATCATTAACATTTATACAAGTGTGGATTTCCATTTCCAAAAGTTCTATTCGGCGTTTTGTGAAGTATTCACAGAAAATATGCCTTTTATCTCAGGGAATTAATTATCGTTATATTATCTAAACAATTATTATCTGAACTATTATATTAGTTGATTATCATATTGGCTGAATTATTTCGCGCGATAATTATTTTATACGTAACAATGATTTATACATACGACATAACGGAAGCACCAAGACATTTTGTTTTGTTCCCTGTCTTTTTCTTTGTTCGAGTAAAAGACAAAATATCCAAGTAGTCAAGTGCAATTTATGTAAGCTTCGAGCTAGTGACCGCCTTTCCTCATTCATGGAAACTGCCGAAGAGCGATAGGATTGCGTAGACAAATAGCATTTCTAAAGCGACTCGATTACTTTTATCAACCTTGCATATGTCCGTCCAAACAAACCTTGAACTGCTTTTGCGATAAATTGATAAGAGAAAGAGCTCGTTAAAGTTAATCGCATAGTAGCTGGCGGGCCACGACGTGACGCATAAAATGCATAAGGATGAGCACGCGAATGTCACAGTGATCCATTTTCTTCGTGCTATATAGCTAATTCACCGAGAGAAAAAAAATGAATAGAGGAAATAGAGAGAGAGAAAGAGAGAGAGAGAGAGAGAGAGAGAGAGAGAGAGAGAAT